TCTCTCCTCTCTGTATATCTGCCTTTCCAATAAAAAAAATAAAATAAATCTTTAAAAAAAATATGTTATGGATTCATGGTAGGCCTGATATAAAATAAGCCGCTTTTGTTACTGAAGAGCTAATCAGGAACATCTTTCAAATACTAAAAATTTTGAATTTCTTCTAGTTCATTAATTAACTGATCATTTTGAATGATTACAAAGATTTATAAAAATAAAACCATGTAGAGTGATAGGTCAGTTGGCTAATTCTTGGCCTGTGAGTGGCAGTATCCCACATGGGCACTGGTTCCTCTCCCGGCTGCTCCACTTCCCAGCCAGCTCCCCGATGTGGCCTGGGAAAGCAGCAGAGGATGGCCTTGGGACCCTGCACAAGTGTGAGAGACCCAGAGGAAGTTTCTAACTTCTGGTTTCAGATTGGCTTGGCTACAGCAGTTGTGGCCAGCAGATGGAAGATCTTTGTTTCTCTGTATGTCATTCTCTCTGTAAATCTGCCTTTCCAATAAAAATAAATCTTTTAAAAAAGGATACGTTATATTTTATAAATTTAGATTTGAAGCTAGTTTAATTCTTTAGCTTTTGTGTAATTGAGTTTTAATCCTCATTTACTTTGCTAGTGATAATTTAAGGCACTGCTTTCTTAAAGCTTGTAACTTGTTGCCATTGTTTTCATACTAACCCTGTGATTTACTCCTAATGTGTTTGTTTATAAGCATCTTAAACTTCATTCCAGCTTTGGTCTGAAACATTTTGGTAAATGACACTTTTTTGTTTGTTTTTTTAAATTTTATTTTTGATAATGTTTACCTTGATGAGAAGGATGCATGCCCCCATGTGGACCACTGATGAGGGTGGGAATGGTTGATACATAGGAGCAGTAGATGAGACCATTGTTTCCAATTTTCTTTTTTTTCTTCTTCTTGTATCTGGAGGAAGGAGGGAGAGAAGGGGAGAAGCCACACCCAACTTCCTAACTGCAGTGCTACCCAGTGATGGGGAACGGCCACCCAATGTCATCCTAGGGTGCCCGATGTGGAGCATGCTTTGAGGGTTTTGCTCAAGTGGTTTTGTTAGTTGTGAAATGCTGTTGATTTCATTGCTCCAAGGTTGAGAAAATCTTTCCAAGGTTCTTTGACTGACAAGTCCACCCTAGGGTTTCTCTGGGAGAGTTGTCCAATTTGTTCTGCCATTTAGCCTCTACTGTGGCACTAGCTGTCCTTTGCAGTCTGGGCCTAATGAACTGCCATATCCCGCATGTACATCTGGGCATTCTGCCCACTGCACTGTCTTCAGCAACTAGGAAACACAGTTCTGACACAAACATTCCAAGGTCAGACCACAGATCATGTGATGCTCCCTTTGGTTGGAGTTCCGAGTCCAGCGGTTCAGTTGGAAGGTCCTCATAGAAATCTTGTCTGAGGTAACCCCAGACTCGACTCCTGTGTGTACCAGCCATTACAGGGTTCAGCTCAATCTGTAACCCATATCGACCTGTACACACACTGGTGGTTGTAGTCTCCCAGTCAGTTCGGTCTCCAGCTCCATGTCTTATACAAACCAGTGGATGTTATGGCCCAACCCAACCCAACCCTACCCACCACAGACTTGACCCTCATGTACACCAGATGTAGCCTGCCCTGGCCTGCTGTGCCTTCAGTTCCAGCTTATGCTGGTGGGTGCTTGAGCCTAGCCCAGTCCAGCTCAGCCCAGGCCAGCAAGCCCCCAGTGCTGACCCTGGTATGAGCTGACTGATGTTGCATCTCAACCTGGCCTGTCCAGCACCCCGGCCTGGTTCTCACATGTGTCAGTTGGTGTTTTGAAGTGGCCCAGCCTGGCCTATCCACAGGCCTGAACCATACATATGCTGGCCGGTAATGCAACCTGGCCATGTCTGGGATGCTGCCAGTCTAGATATGCAAACCAGTAGGTGTGGTAACCTAGCTCAGCATGGCCCACACTCCATCTTGGCTCCTGCACATGCCAGTGTGCTAAAGTTTGGCCTAGTCCTGCCCCTGGAACCGATTATATGCTTGCTGACAAGTGGAGCTGCCTTGTCCGTTCTGACCAACACCCAGGCCTGAATCGCAAACTCAGCAGCAGGAGTTATGGCCCACCAGGGGAATTTCCAAAGTTCCCTGACCACGCCCACTTCCAGACATATATCTCATGTGTGCTAGGAGATGCTAGGCCCTTACGTGGCATAGTTTGCCCCTTTTGTCTTGGCCTTTGTGTGAGCTGCATGTATTGTAGCCTGACATACTCCACAGCTCAGGTTTTCCTGAGGGTCGGTGTATTGGTCTGACCCAGAAAGGTTCTCTTGCTTCGCTCCTCCAAACTGTACGGTCTCAGCCTTGTCACTTACCCGCAAGTACAGTGGCCTTTGTTGGTATGGACATTAGCTGGAAGCTGGAATTAGGAATGGAACCTGTACTTGAACCTAGGCACCTGTAATAAGTGACATGGGCCACTTCACTCCCAGCTTAACCTCTACACCAAATGAAACTCCCAGCTTAACTTCTCCCAGCTACTTCACTTCCAGATTTACTTCTACACCAAAGGATACTCCTTGCTAACCTCTACACCAAATGACCACAGCTCAGTTTTTACTTTGTAGCTGGAAGAGGTAACTTGAACTATCTGCCTAAATTCTTCTGCCTATTCTACCTCATTGCTTCTGCCTATGCATGATAACTTTCAGTATTCTTTGGAGTGCATGGTACATCTCTATAAATCTTAGCTTTTAGAGGGCAATTTTGATTCCAGGTAATTAGAGAATATTTTGTTATTTTTCTGCTGTTTTCCAGGCCTTTGGTTGGCATTATTTATGTGATTGGGTGCAACATCTTGTTTGCAGATAGGCTGTTTCTGACCATCTGTGTCTCCACGCAGATTTTTCAAGGGCCTATTTCCTTTTTTTAAAAGATTATTTTATTTGTATTTGAAAGAGTTACAGAAAGAAGGCTGTAGTTACTGGAGCTGAGCTCATTTGGAGCCCTGCTGAGCTGATCCACAGCCTGGAACCTTGAGCTTCTTCCAGATCACCCAAGGACTTAAACCATTCTCCACTGCTTTCCGAGGGAACAAGCAGGGAGCTGGATCAGAAGTGGAGCATCCAGGACTTGAACAAAAGCGAATATGGGATATTAGCATTGTTTAGCCTACTTCGCCATGGCATTGGCCCTTGAGGTCCTAAGTTTTATGGCAGATTTTCATGGAAAGTAGGCTTGAGGGTAAAAAAATGTTTCTTTCAGTTTTTTATAAAAGCATGAACTTGCCATTCTTGAACTAATGGCTTTATTTGTTTTTACAGAGGTAGAAACATTGTAATAAGAGGGCATGTATAAATATTTATTACGTGTTAAATAAGATACTGGCCACTTTTTGTATGTGTTATATGATCTGAATAACAATCCTGTAACATGGTTTTATCTGAATAGAGAAATTCAGTGACCTGCCTGCTTAATTTGGAAAATGAATTAATGGCAAAATCAGGTTGAGAAGGCAGGTCCTATAACTTTTGATCTGTTTTAGTGGGAGTTAGAGATCTGATGTAGAGGACCCTTTACTAAGCTCTCACTTGTTTTCCTATCTTTTGTTCGTGTGTGTGTGTGTTTGAGAGAGAGGAGTGTGAGTTTCCAAGGCTAAATCAACAGAAAAGATTAAGAAATAAATTACCACCCTCCCATGCTACTGTTTCTACCTTTTGAACTGGTCCCCAGATTTTATGTAGTGCATTTTTATGCATGATATATATTTTGCATGTAATGTTGTACATATGTTGTGAAGCCAGTGATATTTTATGCTTTGAAAATTATAAATTATATAACATAATTATAAATTATAAAACCTAAAGATTTGCATGCATTCTGATCACTCTGTACATCTCTAACAAACACATATAAATGGAATTTTAAAATATGTTCTAGTAAGTTTTAATTAACAGTAAAATCACATAAAAATTAAATAATTATTCAACAAAAAGAGACTATTGGAAATGTATACTTGAAGATTTATTGATTTTTTAAAAAGATTTATTTTATTTTTATTGGAAAGTCAGAATAGAAGAGAGACAGAAGAAGGTCTTCTGTTTGTTGATTTATTCCTCAGGTGGCCGCAACAGTTGGTTCTGTGCCAGTCTGAACTGAGGATCCATGAGCTTTCTCCAGGTCTCCCACGTGGGTGCATGGCTCCGATGCTTTGGGCCATCCTCAACTGCTTTCCCAGGCCACAAGCAGGGAGCTGGATGGGAAGCAGGGCTGCCGGGATTAGAACTGTTGCCTAAATGGGATTATGCAAGGCGAGGATCATAGCCTCTAGGCTACAGTGCCAGGTCCTCTTTTTTTTCTTTTAATTTTCAAGATTTATTTATTTGAAAGAGCTATAGAAAGAGAGGGAGAGGCAGAGAAGGATTTTCCCTCTGCTGGTTCACTTCCCAAATGACTGCAATAGCTAGAACTGAGCTGGTCTAAAACCAGGAACCAGGAGCTTCTTTGAGGTCTGTCATAGGAGAGTGGGGGCCCAGTGACTTCGGCTGTGTTCTGCTGATTCCTAGGCATAATAGTAGAAGCTGTAATGGAAGTTGGAGTAGCTCGGACTCAACCTGGTGCCCATAGGGGATCTTGATGCACAATGTCACAGTGCTGGTCCCCCATGTTATGTTTGTTGATGCTAACACCCTGACTTCAGCTCAGCAGCCCCACTGATAATTGTTCCTGTGATCACTCATCTTCTGACATACAGAAGTGCAGTACAACATAGTGAAGATATCTTGTGTTTTCAAAGCATTGCCAACATACTGGATACTGCCAGTGCAAATGATTAATGCAACAGCAGAGAGCCATCTGCTTTGACATTTTTGGTGTTTTATTAGCCAAATCAGAAGTCCGTAACAGTGTGATAGTGCTTATTTAGTGAGGATCAGCTGAGTGTTGTGGATAATCAGATGTCCTTGAAGCAAATATACTTCATCTGACCAGAGTGTTTTTGTTTCTGTGTGATAGGTATTCTCTGAAGCCAAATGACCAAATTCTGGCCGAAGACAAGCACAAGGAACTGTAAGTCACTAACCTCAGGCGGTCGTGCTCATGCAGTTTGATGTCTGTGAAGAATCTGATTTTTAAAAGCGTGTAAAATATAAAGGCATGATTGACATGTTGGCCTTCAGCCTGACAAGATTGGGACGGTTTGTGCTTCACAAGCTTAGTATAGGAAATAATTGTTTCTAATACGTATTAAAATATGTACTGGTCTTTTTTATCATCCTGTTGAAGACATTTGCAACAGTAAGTCATTTAGTTTTCTTTGTCCAGATAAAAATACCAGTTTGTCTTTGTTGGGTTTTAGAACCATCTAAATCGCTTCCTCTAGTCCCATGCTGGATGGAGAAACAACTTTTTGTTTTGTTGCCTTATGAAAAAGTAAATTCATGACAACTGATGACAACTGTTTAGTATATAAGTTTAGGTGTTAAGTCTGAAATATGAATAACATTTGGCTGCCTTTGAAATTTTTGATGCATTTCTTTTGGGTTTCTGTCACTGAAAAAAAATAAATGTATATGTATTTCTTAGATATTTTCATTGCTATTTTTCCTTCCATTGTAGTATTTAAGAGATTGGCACCTGATGAGAGGCTGAGGATTTTAGTTTAAAAGGAAAAACTGAGAATTTTTTTTTAAGATTTATTTATTTTTATTGGAAAGCCAGGTTTACGCAGAGAAGGAGAGACAGCCAGATCTTTTGTCTGCTGATTCACTCCCAAAATGAATGAGAGTGAATTGCCTGAGCTTAGCCCATATGACGCTAGGAGCCAAGAGCTTCTTTTGGGTGTCCCACGTGGGTACAGGATCCCAAAGCTTTGGGACATCCTTGACTGCTTTCCCAAGCCACAAGCAGGGAGCTGGATGGGAAGTAGAGCAGCCAGGACAGGCACTGACACCCATATGGGATCCTGGCACATGCAAGGCAAGGCTTTAGCCACAGAGTCCTTGCACCAAGCCGTGCATTTTTTTCTTTCTTTCTTCCTTCTTTTCTTCCTTTCTTTCTTTCTTTTGGCCTCTTTTAAAATAGTTGGAGAATTTTTAAATTTGTCATCTTTTGAGTTTCTTCAGATTATCTGAAGAGGAAAATTTGAAAAAAAATAGTAGTGGTTATTTTTTTCTGACTATTCTGCCTTTTCCCCCCATTGCATATTATGAAAAGTGCTGATAATGTTAATTCTGTGTAAGCAGCATGTGTCATTTGGTATGTTTTGTCATTAAGAATCTGGAGTACAACTTTAAGTTCTAGCCTGTTTATGAAGAAGATTTTTAGGTTTTATAAACCTGTTTGGACTTTTCACTAATATATAACTGATATCAAAAACACTCTTTTGGGTCCAGTGTAGTAGCCTAGCGGCTAAAGTCCTTCCTTGTACCCGCTGGGATCCCATCTGGGTGCTGGTTAATGTCATATGGGTTGTCCACTTCCCATCCAGCTCCCTGCTTGTGGCCTGGGAAAGCAGTGGAGGATGGCCCAAAGCCTTGGGACCCTGCACCTACATGGGAGACCCGGAAGAGGTTCCTGGCTCCTGGCTTCAGATTGGCGCATTCCAGCTGTTGTGGGCATTTGGGGGATGACTCATTGGGTGGAAGATCTTCTCTGTTTCTGCACCTCTCTATATATCTGATTTTCCAATAAAAATAAAATAAAAAAAAAAATCTTTAAAAGAAACCTGAAAAGCAAAAAGCTCTCTTTTAAACATGTAACTCGAGTTTCTCTTGATTTAATTGAATCTTTATTTTTACTTCTCTGCATGGATAGTAGCTTCTTTTGTAGAGTGTTCCAACACTGTTAGGTTCTTCTTAAGATGAATGATTTTTCTAAGTTCTTTTGAACATTTTACACAAAAAAAACCTCTTTGCAGAGGCTTTTCCAAATCAGCTTGTTCCTTTTCTTTGAACGAAGAGGTCATATTAAGTGTTATTTCTGAAATGCTAGTGTGTACGAAGATGGTGTGAGTTCTTTTCATATATATAACTTCTTGCGCTATAGTTTCATTGATATTTATGTTTTCTAGCTTCATTTGATGATAATATTCGTGTTGGCTTCTTACCTGCGTCATGAGGAAATTTGGTGTGTTTTCTTTCCTACCAAATATCATTTCAGAAAAGTGATTGTCTGCTATACCCTTTTTTAGTTACTTGTTCCATGTGGGTTTGGTTCCAGAGCTATTTTGGCTTGTGAGTTAAGTACTCAGTCAACCTAGTCTTTTGAAGTTGATGACAAATATAGTGTCTTCTTAAAGAACATATTTTTATTATATGAATACTTTTTAGTGTGTTAATTCATTCAAAAGAGCTTTTTTCTCAGTTATTCAGGGTTTAGGTTCTTCCCCATGGAGAGAACTTGGACAGTTTTTATTTTTTCTTACACTTTCTGTAAAATTTTAAACATATAATACTCAAATATGCTCACCCTTATCCTCACCACCTCGATTTTGTTGTTCTCATTTTGCTTTCTGTTCATTCTCCTACCCATCCATTCAACAGTTCTCTTTGGATGCGTTTCAAAGGAAGTTGCAGACACTGTGTGCTCTCTCTTAGTATTTCCGCACACATAGCATATGAGTTCGCTATTTTTGAAGTTTTGCTTGTTCTAGAATTTGTTATACATGTACATTCTGTTTTGTATAAGATTCACTAAGACCTGGATCTCTCTTAGTTCCAATCTGTTACTAGGCAAACTTAATTTATCATTATATTATTAAAAAATGTAGTCTACGAGCAGTTCGGCATGGTTTTAAAAATGCACCATAATTCCTTGTACACAGAAAGAGAATAAAATAGTAAATTTATCTTGAATTGTTTGTATGACAAGTATCAACTATGTTTTCATTTAAAATATTCTGATTTCCTGCACTCTGGTGATTCAAAGTCCATATACACTTAGTCACCCATGCCTCACAGTATTATTCTGTCTGGGAAAGACTGGCATTCAAGAAAAAGGGAAAATTTGGTGAGTAATGACAGATGTTTTCTCTCAGCAGAAATGATTTCTCTCAGGTTCCTGTTTTTCATTGTTTTTGTACTGAATACTTTCTGGGTTGATTTTAAGTAGGTGACGCTAACCATTTGGAATTGTGCTATGATTAATCCAGGCTGTTATTCGTACTTTACCATATGCATAATCTAGTATTAAACTGTTCCCTTTGGTGTTCCACTCATCTTCTTCACTTTGTCATAGTTTCACAAATAAATGAGAGAAATATCATTTAATCAGTAGGTATTTTTCACCTGAATGTCATTCACTGCACTAGACAATACTTAGAGCAATGGTACTGTGTAGCTTTGTAGATATGAATGATAGTGATTTCATCCGTAAATGGGGGCTTATTTGCCAATAGTGGTTTCTCTTCTCTTGGATGTTTCTGCAGTTATAGAAGATAGAACCATTTTGTTTCTATGAGTTTTTATTCATTTTATGAATATGTAAGTTCTGTATTACCTTAAGGAATATTGAGAGCTGATCATAAGTACCCAACTGAGTTTAAAGCAAAAGTTGTCCAGAATTAGGAGTAAATGCCAAAGGCAAATATAAATATATTCAGAAGTATCCACACCACCTAACACACAGATAGTATTAAATAGCAATTGATAATAACTTTATGTCTGTGGACTTTTTCTGTTACTTATTTGCTGTATATGGCGTGTGGGGAACTTCTTTAAAATATATTTACTTTTATTTGTTTATTTGACTTTTCAAGATGGCTAAGGTAAAGGCAAGCTTCTAAAAGCAATAGATTCTGTTGTAAGTAGGAAGTATTTTCCCCTCCAGTACCGAATGTTCTTTATTACCTTTAAATGTCAAAAATTAGAACTATTTTCTCAGCATTGCTGCTTAAATTTCGTCTTATAAATATTTGTTCTATTTTGCTTAGTCTTGTGTCTCTAGCATTGTGATGGAAAGGAGAAGCATTAATGATACAAGAGGCGGGAAGGAAGGGTATTAGAAAGGATGGAGGTAGACCGTGATCTTCAGTACAGGGAATGAATAGTTTCTCAGGGAATAAAGCTCAGTTTCTTTTTTTTTTCTTAAGTTTTATTTATTTTTATTGGAAAGTCAGCTATACAGAAAGGAGGAGAGACAGAGAGGAAGATCTTCCATCCGATGAGTCACTCTCGAAGTGGCCGCAGCAGCTGGAGCTGAGCCAATCTGAAGCCAGGAGCCAGGAGCTTCTTCCAGGTCTCCCACATGGGTGCAGGGTCCCAAAGCTTTGGGCCGTCCTTGACTGCCTTCCCAGGCCACAAGCAGGGAGCTGGATGGGAAGTGGAGCTGCTGGGATTAGAACCAGCGCTCATTTGGGGATCCCCGGTGTGCAAGTCAGGACCTTAACCACTACGCTATCGCACTGGGTCCTCAGTTTCTAAACTGAATAAATAATGATCAGTTTCTAAATTCGTGACTGTTTGTGTGAGATACTTGAGCATATGTTCAAGTGCTGTTAGAAGCAATCAGTAGGGCCTGACACTGTAGCCAAGTCCTTGCCTTATTGCTTACATTGGGATCCCACATGAGTACTGGTTCCTGTCCCTGCTGCTCTATTTCCCATCCAGCTTTCTACTTGTGGCCTGGGAAAGCAGTGGGACATGTTCCAAAGCCTTGGGACCCTGCACCTGTGTGTGGCATACCTGTTAGAAGTTCCTGGCTCCTGGCTTCGAGTTCACTCAGCTCTGGCTGTTGGCAGCCACTTGGGGAGTGAATTAGCAGATGGAAGATCTTTCTGTCTATCCTTCATTCTGTAAATGTGACTTTCCAATAAAAACAAATAAACCCTTTTTTAAAAAGCAGTCAATAATGTCTTGTATGCCTTTAATGCGATATCGTTGACGCCATGACTTAGCAGTTCTTGAAAACATCAAGATTTTTCCCTAAGAGCAATGTAAGAGCTCATTGCCTCAGCTAATGGATTTTGTTCTGGGGAAAATACATTTGCTTAATGCAAAGGAGAAATACTTTGGAAACAAAAATAAATTGAAATATGGAACAGTTAGGATCAACACTGTTAAATATTTAAT